ACACACACACACACACACACACACACACACACACACACACATACACATTCACACAAACAAAAATAACATAAAATAAAATCACAGACAAAGACCCATGAGAACGCGTGTACCATCTTAAATCACGTCGAACAGGTGGTTACACTCACTTCCTCTTGACGTTTGAAGTTCGTAGAGAGTGCAACCACCTCTTCGACGAATATTTTTTTTCCTCTCTCTCTCTCGCGCGCGCGCTCTCTCTCTCGGTTTCTTGCGTACACCTTCATTCCCTCCATCTGTGTTTTTATAGATGTTCCCTCTCGCTCCCTTTCTCCGCCCCTCCCTCCGTCTCTCTCTGACACATGTATACATATACACAAAATATTAAAAAACAATTCTCATGCACCGTGATTCCGCTATATACTACTTTAAATTTTAAAATATGTCTATCTCTTTCACGACTTTCATCTACACGTTGATCATCCTTCTAAAGAGGATCCTTCCCTCTTTGTGACTACAAATCGACGACATCTCTCTGTACCCGAGTATCTAAAGTATCGTCACCGTCATTCATAGTATACGCATTGCAATCAATGTGTTCGACCTCGTCAAATATGCTAAGGAACTTGTGATCGTCTTTCATTTTCAACACTTCATTTTTGCCCTTCTTCCCAATAAAGTCATGTCTCTCCCAAATCTTTCGTGCAGTCTCAACGACCCGTTTCTCTTTATCAAGAGAAATCGCATTAATAGTAACTTTCTCAACTCTGGTCTTGTATGTTATGATGATGGCCTCCTCGATTCGTCTCATTTCTTGTGTAGCTGAGGCAGTGTGTGCAAGACGACTCTTGTTGTTCATATGGCAATCAAGCACCATATGAGCACAAGCAAGTTCTTGTAGCGTGCAACCTCTCTTATTCAGTTCTTTGTAGTCTCGGTAGAGTACCTCGTCGACGACGTTCTTGAATTGTTGTGCACCCCACAACTCATTACCTTTGACTCTCCAAGATGAGTCTTCCTCATTTTGCTCCTCATCTCGTCACGTTTTTTGTGTAAGTGGTCTATTAAACTGACACACGGATACGAAATTCCTAAACTACTCTAAGACCCTCGCACGATTTCATGAGCAATCTCGCCCCTAATATTCGTCAGTTCTCTTGAACCCGTACCACAAATTGCCCTCATTCCCTTCCATTTCAATACCCTATCAACCGCGCCTCGAGCTTCCACAGGAAGTGTTCCAACAAATTCTAAAAAAATATCAACAAAAAGATTTAAAGAATGGTACATTTCAGCGTCTCCGTCGCGGGATGAACAAAACGTCTTCGCCATACAACGAAGAAGTCGTTTTGTAATCTTCATATCCGATTCTAGATCTTGCAGTTCTTTGCAAATAAACTTTGCATGATCCTTTATTGTGTTGAAAATACGTGTACCTTCTCGCCGCGGTACTGCACGTATGAAAAACCCACACCACAACCCCAATTAAATTAGTTGATCGCATTTTTATCTACATAAGAATGTCCTTGTAACATCAATTAAAATAAAATAAAATTATAAGTTCATTTGTTTAACACTTCGTTTTGAACTCGAATTAATGAAAACGATTTTTTACCCATTTGTTGTTTTTCTGCTCTATCGCTTTTCTTTTTCAGTTGCCTCCTCAATGACAAGTGGTCGTCTTCTTTTGCATTTTCATCGAACCTAGGTTCACTTTCTTGTTTCCGTGATCATATTCGTCGTCCATTTTTTCATCCTCGCATTTTTGGTAGTCCTTCTCATTTCTCATTTCATGACGTTCCCCTTATGAATCTCCATCATATCTTGTACTTCTATTTCGTTCTTCGTTATATGCGTCTTCTCTATGTCTTTACCGTCAATCCGTATGGCCAATCTTATGAGACCCGCCATCTCCGCTTGCATCACTTTCACCGTCGCCTTGTCTTTTGACCTTGCAAGACATTTCTCGATAATCTGCTTCGTGTTTGCGGTCTAACGCGGGTGTCCTATGTTTCACAGGAGCACGTGGTTATTGCCACTTCTCATATCTTCGCGAAAACTCTTCCTTGTTGGCGTTTGCTGTAGGGATTCCTCTCTATCCCGTACAATATTGTTCTTCATTGTCTGATCTTTCGTATCCATGTCGAATTTACACTTACTAGCTTCTCGATGCATGTCAATCATGTTTCTTCGTATTCCCTCACCGTCTTTACGATATCTAGTATCCCGTTTTTCTCCAGATATGTCATCGCCGATGTGCGTTTCTCCTCCTTGATGAGATTTTTCAACGTTTGTATCATGTCGCCGCCCATCATCATGCAAGGTATGACCTCGTACACGGTGTGATGTATCTGATCGATCTCTACACCTTTGCTTGTTGTCATCTTGTTCATCCATACATTTTCCCTTTAGCATGTTGAATACTAGTTGTTTTCCCTTGCTGCCTCCTATTTGTAGCCATAATGTTTTGCTCTATATACCAAAGACAAAATTGAAACAGCTATATTACATAAGTTAATAGATACCCTACATGTCAAACACTATATATTTTTTGCCTTCGGAAATGTTTATTATGCAAAACAAACATTGCAACTGATACCGTCATTTTCAATTACTTTTTTTTTTTTTGCATACTTGATAAAATATCCCTCTATTTTATACATTACAATATTTTTTAATTGTTTGAAACACATAATTTTTTTATAACACTCTATTTTTTACCTATTGCACGGATGTTGTTTTACCTTCCTTCAACACTTTCTCAGTTCGCCCTCGTTTTCCGTCGTCTTGTAATATGTTTTCTAAAGATAGCTGCAAATTCTTCAAGCGTGTGCGATGTCGACAACTTCATATAAATATATGTTACCGCCCTTATCATAGCGATCCGATGTTCATGAGTTTTTCTGCCTTTGAGACGTGCGGGCGCTTCTTCTACCTCCTTCTTCGTTCTCAACACATTCATGCTCTCTCCAATGCTCTCAAGCAAGCTTTCAATATTTAAGCACATCATAACGCCACAATCATAGTTATTGTTTGCGTAGCACACCGGACGTGTTCGGAAGTTTTTCGAACATCCGAACACGTTCGACCGTTCGCCCGAGCGGAACGCGAACGCATTCGCACGAACGCCTTTCCGAGGTCGGCGAACGCGTTTGCCCAGCAGGCGTTACTGGCTCGGGGAGGGGTCTGGGGGGCGGGTGGGGGCCGTGGGGTGTTGCAGGGTGCGGGGTTGGGCGGGCGGCCTTGCGGGAGGGGTAGTCAGGGCCCACGTTCAAATTCGAACGGCGTCAAGTAGCAGCCCGCCCCGCCACTCCAGACCGTGCAGCCGTCGCTATCGTCAACGTCGACGTAGCCTCGCAGGGAGCACGCCATCGTCGTGATAGGTGTCCTGCCCCCTCCTCCTCCTCCTCCTCCTCCTCCTCCTCCTCCTCCTCCCCCTTCCATTCCTCCTTTTCTTCTTTTATCGCCATCTTTTCCACCACATCCACGTCCTCCTCCTCGTCTACGTCTTCGTCCTCCCCTTCCCCTTCCTCCTCCTCCTCCTTCTTCTCCACTGACCAACGCGCGACTGCCACATCAACACGCGCCCAATTTTTTTTTTTTTTCGTTTTCTTCTTCCTTTTCCTAATCCCCCTCCTCCTCCTCCTCCTCCTCGTATCCGTCTTCCTCCTCCCCGTCGTCGTCCTCCTCCTGTACTTCTTCCTCTTCCTCGTCCCATCGTCGCCACGTGGTTGCCACGTCAGCACGCGCGATATTTTTTTTTCGCTTCTAGTTTTCATCTTTTTATTCTTTCATGTTCTTCTTCTTCTTCTTCTTCTTCTTCTTCTTCTTCTTCTTCTTCTTCTTCTTCTTCTTCTATTCTTCTTCTTGTTGTTGTTCTTCTTCTCTCCTCCTCCTCCCTCCTCGTCCACATACCAATGCGCAGCTGCCACGTCAGCACACGTCCTTTTTTTTTTTTTTTTTCGTCTTCTAAGAATATTTTTCTTCTTCTGAAGGATCTTCTTCTTCTTCTTTTTCTTCTTCGTCGTCATCGTCGTCGTCTTCTTTTTCCTAACCCCCCCCCTCCTCCTCCTCCTTGTCTTCCTCTTCCTCCTCCCGTCGTCGTCCTCCTCTTGTACTTCTTCTTCCCCCCTCCTTCTCCTCCTCCCCGTCGTTGCGCGGCTGCCACGTCAGCACGTGGGACTTTTTTTTCTTTTTCGTTTTTCTTCTCTCCTCCTTCTCCATATCCTCCTTCTTTTTTCCCACTCCACATACTCCTCCTCCATTTCCTTTCGTCTTCTTCGTCTCCTCCTCCATCCTCCTCCCCCTCCTCCTCCTTTCGTCGACTTCTACTCCTCATCTGCTTCTCCCCCCCCCCCCCCCCCCCTCTCGCGAGCCTGTAAGTGCTCAGGAGTGACAGACACCCCCCCTTAACCCCCCCCAGACCCCTATATATATATTTATAAAAAAAAAAATGTTCGCGTTCGGTGGTTTTGGGGACCTGCTCGCATTCGGCGTTCGGCGGTCGAACGCGAACATGATGCTTGCGTGTTGTTGACACCCGACACTTTCTATGATACTTTCCCCACCTAGGAATTGTTCCCATACCCACGCGAGCCGTTGTGGTGTAATGTCAATATCTTGTGCGAACATGGCTGCCATGTGTTCGTAGAACAGATGTACCAATAATGGTTCAAACGCTGACATCCCGAAAGTGTTATTCGAGTTGATGTGGAATATCGCACATCAATCCGTCCTTGCAAGATCCGGGTTCTTCAACACTACACCAATGTCGACAAATATGAGAACTGTATAATGACGTGCATGCAAAATAGGCACTATGACGATTTTCTTATCCCACACCGATGTCATTCTCTTCCTTCTCTTTCCACACACGTCCTTCACGAATTCGAGATCGGGAGGACAGTTCACATCAACATCTTTGTGAGTATTGTACATCTTGCTATACCACAACATGGAAGTCACCTCCACGCGAGACATATTGTTGTTTTTTTTCATGACTGACTCGTACGCATATTGATTATGAACGTCAACAATATTTGTTGTCAGCCACCTTGCCGATCCCAGCGACTCAACATCATCCATCCTGATAAAAAAAGACTCTGTGTGGGAGGGACGCTAATTGAAAAGAAAATACTCAGCAACGGTGTTCAAAGTCAAAGGTGGTAGCGTCCGGTTCTCAACTCCGAAATGTTCATCCTCATGAAGATGTGAAATCATTTGAGAGTTTTTGTCCCCATCATTTTTTGTCTCCAATGAAACCCTTTCATTAGTGAGTGAAATTACATTTCTCAATGATCTCGAATTCCTATCTCCATTGACTCCACTTGTCTCCTCTTGCACCGCCTTCTCATCATTTACGATATTTACACCACTTGACTTTAACATGTTCACCTTCTTCACTTTTGGCTTCAATGCTCTGTCGTTCTCCGTTATCGTCACGTTCATACTCTCATTGACTTCGTCTTTCTCCTTGTCCGATATCTCATCAATGGTGTTCCTCGACAACTTCCTCACCTTCCCGATTGAATGTTGTGGATGATAATCGATGTGGCATGACACTTCGTTCTGAAATGTCGTTATGTCCTTACCAACATCACATATAGTGTCGAAAGGAGCAACACCTGTCATGATTTCGTCACACACTTGATTCTTGTCCCTCGTTCCGTCGTCTCTTTCTTGATTTTCATCATCCATAGCAACAACGTCTGAAAATGTTAAGTCTTTACTCTTCGTGTCGCACGTCCTCGGCACACTCTCAATAATCTCACGCATACACTCTCCGAACGCACTTGAGATCGGTGTCGGGGGCAATAATTTCCAAACATCTACAGATAAACTCAACATAGGACGATGATACATTTGCTTTACCTCTTCTTCTGACAGCATTTGTTACTTGATTGTTGATGTTATCTTCAACTTTCTCGATTGTGTATAGCGACTACATTTCAGATCTCCTCGCCTTCCTCTTCTTGATGTTTCTCCACTTACCTTTTTTGTCCCCTTTTCCTTCATCGGAATTTGGTTTCCTCGTTTCACATGCTCATTAAGTTGGTGTCTCCTTCCACTTCCTCGATGTTTTTTTTGTTGTTGATGAATCTCAGTTGTACTTATACCACAACTTTCTCCACCCTTCAGTTGTTTTCCATTTTCGTTCCCGCCCTTGTCTCGACCTTTTGCAAACGAATTCATTGTCTAGTCTTGCCCAACATCTTATATCCTCTGTGTTGCCAGAAACTCGTTTGCATACACCTTGAAACACGCAAATAAAAAAGTTTGATCATTGAACAACTCAAAGAGAAAGAATATGACACAAATAGTCATATGACATTTACGAATCTGTTTAAAAAAAACACCTCATCTCCAACATTCGCACGTTCCACATCATGCCGAAATGAGGGCCTCAAGAAATATGGACCCAGATGTACTGGTTCAATAATCGTATCAATGTCGATGACGTTGTTGTGTTGTACACCTCTGATTCTCTCTCTCTCTCTCTCTCTCTCTCTCTCTCTCTCTCTCTCTCTCTCTCTCTCTCTCTCTCTCTCTCTCTCTC